CCTAGGACCTTGCTTCTGTTGTCTGATCATAAATAGCCCATATCTGAAAGATAAAGAAATTACAGAGAGGTATTTTGGAGACTGTCTAGAATTATGTTGAAGGTAGAAGAAAGTTGAGGACTAGGTTTAGAGTGAGGCAGAAGGAGACTTGTGCCTCAATGTGCTGCTTGCTCTTTAGCTACTGGGCCTTATGTGGGCTATTTATCCTGTACTGAGGAATCTCATCATCTGTCATTCCTGTGAAGTTCAAAGTGATGTATGCTGATGAATACAGGACATGTAGTATTGGACACTTAGAGAGTCTCCTTAAGTAGTGGTGACAATTATGAAAGAGTCCCCAGTAATGGCTCTTAAAATTTATTTCAACCTCAGGAAGTAAATTGCATTGTTGTAACTCTGTGGCTTTTTTTTTTGTAGATGCTTGGCAGGAGAATATTTATGAATCTGCCAACAGTTTAGCCTTAGCCTTTGCTAAGAGAGTCAGAGTATCCGTGGGGCCTCAAATCTTGACTGGAGTACCCTGCTTTGAAGAATGGATGGAACAAAAGTTGTCCCTCTGTCTTTGGGTGTTGTTGTAGTTGGATCAAAATGTTCTTGGAAAATTTCCCAAATGACCCATTCATTAATAGAAACACAGAGAGAGATGGAAGATTTTACTTTCCATTCCAAAGACAGCCCACTCAGCACCCAAACAGCATGAGGTGATAGAAAGGAATGATGGACTCAAGGAAAAATGTCCTCCCTGTCCCTTCGTAGAATTGGTAGGTCTACCAGAATGATGGCTGCTAGATGTCCACATTCAGGAGGCAGTCTGGTATCCCAAAGGCACAGAGTGGGGCTCCAGTTCACTTGCCCGATGCAGTGGGATTGGTTTCTTCAAGTAGGAATAGCTGAGCTTTCTTCTTTGTTTAAGTCCAATTGCCTTAGTTTTGCCTTTTGTTTGTTTTGAGGTGGGGGTCTTACTATGTAGCTTAGTCTGTCCTAGAACTCATGATCTTCTATTTCAGCCTCTCCAATGCTGCTATTACAAGGCTGCGCTACCACACCCAATTAAATGTTCCTTTTTGTTGGTAGAGGCGTTGGTTGATCCAAGTCGTTATCTCGGTGCTGCTGAGTGTTATTGCTTTTCATGTTGCACTGAAACCAATCAGGAGAGCCTTGCTCAGACAGTAGATCATGGCTACATGCTTGCCCAGTGACTAGATCACAAACAAAGAGCCTCTTGGTAGCATTCATGCAGTGACCTTTGTTCTGTGTGCCAGGAACCACTGGAATATGGAATATTTTCAGTTACTCATTAGTTTATTCTAGATATTTGTTCTTCTTTAAATCTTACACAGGCATTACACCCCAAACAACATCTTTACTACTTCTTTTTTGAAGCAAAACATTTGTATCACATTCCAAATAAACAGACACACACACACACACACACACACACACACATACACACACACATACACACACACAGATAAATGTTGCTGAGGTCATTAATATATTACATTCTGCTCCAATATACTTTATTACAAGTCTAGTACATTTAAAAACCTATAAAACTGAATTTTAAAACCTACCACACACCCACAGATTGAAGTTTAGAAAAGCATTGGACCTAGGCCATCTAGTAACTTTTATTTTCTAAGTTAAATATGCCCCTGCCCTATCTCCTGCCCAGTTCTTATTCCACTGCCTTCCCTGGCTGCGCATTCTCTCATCCCCTAGGAGTCTCCTTACTTTGGTGTTGATGATTTTTTTCCTGCTTACCCTCTGCTCTGCTTTTGATTGAATTTTCTTGAAGATATCCATTCCAGGATACAAACTACTGTAGTGATTGTAGAAATTAGTAAATAAATGTTCCCACTTCTGAGTGCCCTCCAGAACTGTAGATGGATGCTTGTAGCAGTATTCTAACTAGTTTCAGGTAGCTTTCACATAGACTATCTTGAACTCAGCATGTCCTAAATGAATGCCATTGTTTTCTCTAAATGAAATGACTTCCCTTCTTACTCACTTAGTGGCTTTCCTATAATTAGCTTTACCCAGGCAAATATTTCAGGTAGTCACTCAGCTCTTTTCTTTCTTTTGTATTCTGTAACTGTGTTCTGTGAGTAATAATGTTCATCTCAGTTTTCCATCTCTGACATCATACTTTTTAATTAAAAACAAATGAATAATGTCTCATTATCTAAAGGGTTGAATTTGAATTCTTTATACTATTAGATTTTGGCCTTAACTATGACCTCCATCATTTTTCCCTAAGTGTGCTCCTTGTGACACTAACTAAATGTCGATTCCCAAAAGATGACCTTCAAAGCAATAAATCTTCTCTTGTGCCCCAGGAATCAGCTTTAATTTGACTGCAACATTGACCATGTCATATAATGTCACTGCTGGGATCATATTTATTTGTTATATCGTCATGCCATTTGATACTATCTAGAGAATTAAGATTTGGAGTCATCTTTAACACCCCTGTCAACAACCAAAGAATGCCCATCGATTCATGGGCAAACCATTTATTAATATGCTTTCATGTGCACATGAAGATTTGCTAACATGGGATTCTGACTCATCAGATCAGGTGATAGGCTTGAGATTCTGCATTTCTGTTGGACTCTCAATGAAAGTGAGGGTGCTAGGAAAGACTCACATTTCAAGCAGCAAGACTCTAATTTTCCTTTAGCTACTCCTGTCTTCTCACTTCTACTCTGTCCTCTGAACCTATTGTCTTGCATCTTTTCCCATGTTGAAAGTGTTCTGCAGATCAGTCATACCAGGTTGTTTGTCCCTATGACCTGGCTGGTGATCTAAGACTAGGTTAGGTGCCTTGCCTTAATGTTCCTCATCTTTTCCTGAGTTCACACTTTTACTCTTCTCTTCTAATCTGTCTTGGCTTTTCGGTCTTGCTATGCAATATTCTCTGCTGTGTTATACAGCAAGAAGGCATAATCTAATAACAGGAACCTGTTGAACCCATACTCTTAAATTTACCAGACTCTAATGCAATGAGCCAAACAAACCTCTACTCTTTCTAAATTATGAAGGCTCATGTATTTTGTCATAGTAACAGAAAATAGATTAAAATACGTACAGATAAAAACACTGGCTTAGAGTGCACTACAACATGAATCTTGGAGGAATTCTGTTCGTTCCTATCAAGAATAGATATAGTACATATGATCCTAGTAACTTATGCTAAGGCCTACCAAGCAGTGATAAGTTCCAATCACCTCTGAAGATTGGAGAAATGGGCCAGAGGGATTAGGTTGTCCTTCCTAAGTTACATACATAGGAGAATAGACCTGTGCCCCAAACCAGGACTCCTTTTTCCCACTGTCCTATAGAATCTCTCATTGGTCAATTCCTCACCTCACAGAGCTCTTTGTAGTATGTTGTCAAATATTGAAAGCAGAGTCAGCAGTGTTAAGAAGACAAATGAACAGAAAAAGTAAGAGACTAAAGCAGAAACAAAGCACCTGAGATACACTTGCACCTCCTAACTTCAGGACTCCCACAACAGTTGCAAAAGGCTGGGACTCATGGCCCCCCAGTGTAAACTCACAGCAGAGACAATCGCTCAGCTCAGTGAAACCAGCCCAGGATACTCCCAAGACAGTGGGGCCAGAGTCTGCTGAGAGACTCCCCCATTAGTCACTCATTGCCATATTTTTTTTCCTATTCAAATTTTGGCTCCTGCAACCTTACTCTTATAACTCCATGGAGATTGGCAAAATCCAAGTGCTATGGAACAGAGGCCCTATGTTGGGATGGGACAAGAAGGTACTCGGAAGCTGGAGAAGGAGCTTAGTATTTAGAGGAAAGAGTAGAGCAGTCAAATTAATCTCACCAAAACAGATTAGGAGAGAAGTGAAGTATATGAGTGTGAAGGCAGGAAAGGTTTGAGAATGTCCCAGCAAGGTACCTACCCTACTGGATCACCAGCAGGATGGATAGGGACTGCATTGATTCATCCTCTCAACCCACTATTCATACTCCTCAGGATGCATGCACGTAAGGACTTGTTAGGAAAGGATTCTAATTCAAGAGGTCAGGAGTCAGTTAGAGATTCTAGATTTCTCTTTGGGTCTCAGCAAATGTGAGGTTGTAGGTAGAGACCCACACACTGAGCAGCAGGACTAATAAAACCATAAATGCCATCCTGGGACCCTACCCTCATTATCTCATGTAATTTCTATCACTCCTCTGTAGCCTCACATCAAAATACCATGGATGTATGAATTGAGTCCCAATAAATAAGCTTTGGAGGATGCATTCAAAGGATAGCAGTGGGGTTTAGTGTATTCTCAGATGTCAGGAACAAAAGGAAGGGCCACTAAGAAGTGGAACAGGAGATGTTTTTCTTCTCTCTCTCTCTCTCTCTCTCTCTCTCTTTTTTTTTTTTTTTTTTTTTTTTGCTGCAAAGGTTGTGAAATTCTTCTGTGGGCAAAAGCAATGTGGTTAGAGAAAAAACTCCAACAATGGTCTTCCATCCTAAGGAAACAGCTTCTCCTCCCGATATGTATGCGTTTTCTGTCCCCAGAGGCATGAGTAGTTCAGGAAGTTTGCACTGAACTGCTGTGTTCAGTGTGCCTCCTCATCCCTTCCCTCCCACCCATCCTCCAGAGTCTCCACATGTTTTCAGGTACAAATCAAGAAACTGACAAGTACACTCGCTGGTATGAGCAGCAGTTAAAAAAATAGAAAAAGAAGAATGCTCTGCAAAGAACTTGGTGGAAGGTTGGAAGCGATGGGAGGAAGAAGGATATTTTCAGTAGCAGAGGGGACCTCTGAGACCCGTTTGGAAGATAGACACCTTACTTAATGTGATTTCTACATTTATGCCTCTTTAATGGTCAGCAGAGATCAATAGAATGCCTTCTACGTGGTTAATAATGAGTCTGATAGGTGGTAGCAATGAACATGCTACCTATGGGGTCCGTGGGCTAACAAAAAAAAGACCATTGAACATTGACTTTTCACTTTTCTTTCTTTCTCCCCAGGGCAGCCACTGAAGTTCTGGCAGCATTGCTGAAATCCAGTAAGCATCCCTTTAAAAGAGGGGTTATCTCTTCCCATTTTTATTTTTGTGAAAGGTACTCTTTTTGTTCCATGGCTCCATTCTGACCAGTGAAGAAATAGAGAGATGTGTCCCAAGTCTATTGGAGAAAAGAGAGAATATGATGGCTGTAGAGAAGAGATCTCCTTGTGGACATGTCCACTTATAATACATGACCATTAGTGTTGATTGTTAAGTTGACCGACTCTAGAATCACCCGAGAGAAAGGTCTCTTGGGGTACCTATGAGGGATTATTGTGATTAAAGTAATTGACATGGGGAGACCTGGCCAATATGGGTGCCACCATTTACTGGTAGAGATCATTTATTGTTCTATGCTTCTTGGCTGTGGCTGTAATGTGGCCAGCTGCTTCAAGCTCCTGGCGCCTTGATTTCTCTGCCATAATGAACTGTACCTTGAACTATGAGCCAAGATAAACCTTTCCTCCCTTGAGTTGCTTTTGTCACAGTATTTTATCACAGCAACAAGAAAAAAATAGCTAAGACAAAGACAACTTTCCCTATGAGGGAAGTAAGTTGTCTATTGCAGCCCTGGGGATGCTTCAATTCCTTCTGACACAGGAAGCAGCCCTTCGGCATTACTAGAATAAATCCCAGCCTGTGGGACTGTCCAGTGAAAGAAAAGGCTATGACTGGGTAGGTAGCAGATTCTTGTATTTGGTTTTTAACTTAGCTCATGACTCTATGTGCTTAGGCAGGTAGGGTGTTGGGAAATACTTGGACAATGTAGATGTTGCTGAGTTTCTTTTTTTTTTTTGTTAAAAAGTTATTTCTTTCCTCAGTTATATGAGTGATTGCAAAAGAATAGCTTGGAGGGTCTGAATTATTGTGAGGATTTTTTCTTTTGCCTCATAGCCTTAGCCTAATTACATTGGGAGTCAATTTCATGTGTGCAATATAATAGACGGTATGATGCACTTGGGAGTGAAATCTTGGTTTAATGTTTTTATTCCTCCCCTCCTTACCGCTTCATCTGTTTTAATTTGGCACCTTGGAAACCAACTTCTTCAATGGTGATATTTGTTTCTCTATAGGGAGCCCGAGGCCTGTGGGTAATAGGTGAACTTTAATAAAACTTATAAATAAATAAATAAAAATAAAAACACTCTTTCTCCACCAACCATACATCTCTGTCAACCAGAAGCATGGGGGAAAAGTGAAAGCACATGATGTTTCCTTTTATAGACTGAAGAGAAAAATGAATCTTGAATTCATTTGGTTGATTGGAACTTCATACTGTGTCCAAGTCTGCCCTCAAACACAGCTTTAAAACATGGGGTAGACTGAAGGCAGTGAGAGCAGACTAGGGAGGGAAGAGAGGGAGTCTGTGGAGTTCCTAAGATGGAAAGGTATTTCTTGCGGGTTCTGGGGAGGGGCATTGATTTTTCAGAGTGGAATTATTCCAGGTTTAACCTCTTGATTCTCATTATGGCACGTGGCATCATTCTCCACTCTAACTTGGTGTTTGATGCAGTAGGGTGAAGGATAGGAAGGAAATGAACACTGCTCATTTGTTTAACCAATGAGTACTATGCTTTGGGACAGTGGTTTTCTCTGGAGTCCTCCCAGCCCAGTGCTGGCAATGGAAAACTTGATGCTTCCTGGGAAGGGAGTCCTGAGAGCTAAGTAGGGCCATCTTACCTCCAACATACACCCCCATTTAGCCCTTAAGCTCGAAGTTAGGTACACTTTCATAATCTGTACCTATAATGTGAAAAATCTGAAATTATTCTCCCATTCCTCAACTTTAGAGATAAGGATCATGGTGTCTTGGACTAGAAGAAGACCACAGTATATATAAATATGAACAGGTTCAGTTACACACTGTGGCTAGGTTTTCTGCACACTGGTTGTGTGCTTCACAAGCCGAGTCTGCAGTGATACGAGGCTTTCTAACTTATATTCTTCTTTTAGAGCAGGGGTTCTCAACCTAATGGTTCTCTAACCCTAATGCTAATACATTCTTTAATACAGCTCCTCATGTATGTCGACTTCCAAACATACAATTATTTTGCTGTTACTTCTTACCTGTAATAATTGCTACTGTTATGAATCACAGTGTAAGTCTCTGTGTTTTCCGATAGTCTTAGGCAATTCCTATGAACAGATTGTTTAACCCCCAAAGGGGTCACAGCCCACCAGCTGAGAACCACTATTTTAGAGGTCGGCTCTGACTCATGTCCTCTGTCGAATCTCCCTTCGATCACTTGCTTAGGCACTGCTGCTCTCTGCTCCCACAGGCTTTTCTACCTCAGGGCTGACTGCACTGTACTGAAGTTGTTTTTGTCTTTGTCTCTCAACAGAAGCTTTTAAGGGACAGGGTCATCTATATTGATCCATGTGTTTCTTGTGGCAGCACAACAGAGCTGAAAGTACATATTTGTTGGTTACAATTAATTGAATGATTTGTGATATTTACCCACACAAAATAGTGAGATTGCTCCTTACAACCTAAATCTAACAATCTATGCCTAGAACCAATGGTCTTAACATTTGTAGTTCTAATCTCTATTTACTTTACTAATAGACTGTTAGGGAACTGAAAGCCTGCTGTCTTCCACATATAAAGCAGGCTTTCCTGTCCCATTAGGAAGATACATGGAGTTATCTGCTAATTCTGCTGAGTTGTCCATATGAGCCTTTGCCTGGGTCTTTGGTTATTTATACCATGAGACAGCTGGATCAGAGGCTCTCTAATGTTCTTTCTCACACTAAATACACAGCCTTCACTTATATCAATCAGTCTTTCATCCTTGGCACAATTGGCATTCTGGATTCCATATTTCTTTCTTGTTCGGATCTGTTCTATGCATCGTGGACTATTTAGTGACACCCCTACCTAATCTCTATGTATTAGCACCTGGCATTGTGTTTAAATGTAACAACCCACCCCACCCTATGGGAATAAAAACTGCTTCCTGTTGAGAACCACCAATACCTATTTGGGTACACACATGAGCTGAAATCTACCCAAAATTTCAAAGGATCCTTTCCTACATACCTTTCTTGGAATTTCATAAACATTTTTTCATCTTTCATAATTGATCTAAGATTCCCCAGCATTGAGCATCATTCATATGCATTCATAAGTGGTAAGAACTAAAGGGAGACTATTATTATAAACAGTCACAAATTACTTGGAGGGTTACCTGCTGGGGAAGCTCTTGAAATTCTTAGAATAAGGAGGGTAGGTAGGTTTTATCACAAGTGGCCACACTAATGTGCAGGTAGAAGGGTTCTGAGGTCATATATGAGCCCACCACAAAAGAAGGCTCCACCGAGATGGAAAAGTTGGGCTATGGGCTTGAAGAGCAAGCACAGCCTACCAAACAGTTGCCGTCATTGGTTACTAGCCTAGCCAAGGTATCCATGGAATTGCGTATCTGGACTTAGATGACACCAATACAAGTAGGCTGGACTTCTGCAGGGCTTTGCATGTCTTGGACGTTTCTAGTCACTTTATGATGTCTATATGCCTTGTATAGCTAAACTTTAACATGGAATGCCTTTTAACTTGAATTACAGAGTAGGTTCCTATCAGTTGAACTTAAATGCAGGAAGTTAGATTCTGTCTAAAATTCAAACTGCATGTGGCACAGGTCTCCTGGAATGTTATTCCAACTTTAATCTACAAATGACATACTTCTTTCAAGTGTCAGCTCTTCTGGCACTGATGTTTACTTGTCAGTGAGTCTAAAAGTTGACAGTGGTGGTGGGTCTCAGTAACTACATCACAAACAGAGGACATTGCCCAGTCTAAATAAAGCTAGAACAAAACATTTACTGGTTGGGGGTAGTCCGTGTTCCTATGACAGTCAATACTAGGCCAAGCTTAGGTATCTGAAGTCACCAAGACCCTATTTATTTGTGGCCGACTGGAGTTGATTCCCACTAGTGGCAGAAAAAGCAGGACTCAGAGTTTCGGGAGGTGTGGGGCCTGTCCACAGCAATGACCCAGGGAAAGGAAGGAAGTTTGGATCAGCTTAGGGAGAGTTTACTAGTTTTCTTTGGCTCTCTCTCTCTCTTTTATCAGACAGAGGCTGCAGGAAGAGCCAGCACAGGAGATGTGCAAGAGAAATGAAGCAAGAGGAGTCTCAAATCTCTTTCAGTTCCCGGGCAGGCAAATTTTGCTTAGAAATCGGGCCTCTTGCCCAATGTCTCAGCCATTTGACACTATAAATAAAAAAACAAATCATTGTGCATTCAAGAGTCCATTTGTTTCTGTCTTTTAGATTAGAATGGCCTGATCTAAATTCCACATCGTTCCTCAAATCAGTTCTTCTCTATGCTCACACATGCACAAATTCTCCACCAAATGTTCCTGTACCAAGAACTTGCCTTTTTGTGTTTTATTCTATCCAAAAGCACTTAGCTTTTTATTATCAAAATTTAATAAAGCCTTGATTAAGAAATCACACTACTTCAATTGCTTGTGCTGTTTTTTCTCTAACAAGCCAAAACAACATCTTGTTCTCTCCCTCCCTCCCTCCTTCTCTCCCTCCACCATGCTTCTGTTCCTCTCACCGCTCTCTCTGCCCTTCTCCCTCACTTCCCTAGCCCTCTCTTGATGTCTTTGTCCCCACAGTTCCTCTCTTTTTCTTTTTGTTTCTTAACCTCCTCTCCATGCCCATTAACCATAAATGCATTTATGAAAAATTGTGACCCTGGATGCAGCCGTTGAATGAGGCGCAGCAATGGGATGATAGCTGATTTGTGCTGGCCCCAGGGATGAATCTTCCAATAATGTCTTAGCATTAACCTTGCTGCCCAGATTGAAAGGTCATAATCTTGCAACAAGGAAACACCTTCTGTCTGGTTCTGGTCCTAAATCTTACTGAGGGAATGAGGAGTCTACTTTATACATCTCTCCTACTTAGGAATTAGCATTAAGAAGTTTGCAGAAGTTAGGGAATGGGAGAAGGCCGAGAGAAGTTAGCAGAGAAAGAAATGCAGAGAAGAAA